TAAATTTTACAAAAACTATAAGAGTTTTTCTGTTTATAATTGTAAAATTTATAAAAAGAAAAAAAAAATTACAATCATACGTGCATTGATGATTCCTCAATCATCAATTGTGTAGTGGAGGAGGGTATGACCCATGCATGTTCCTTAATGGTGATTTTGAACAAATTAGTGTGTGCAGTGGCTTCAGAAGTTGCCTAATCTAGAAGATCAACAGTACCATTCACAGAATGCATTACAAATAGGCACCTTTTATAACTGTACTGAAACACCAAAAAGTAAATCAGCGCAAGCAAAAGCACATAAATAAATATAGAACACAACTTCAAAACACGGCACCTTATGGCAGCGAATGCTTAGGACCTCTTCGGCGCTCTCACCTCCTCCCATCTTGAAAACAGCATCCTCATTAGGGAATAAAACACTGCTTTTATGCAAGATATAACAAAGTTCCAACAAGAGGATGGCCAGTACCATGGATATAGCAGTCGGAAAAACAAACTTATAAGGTGCCGGGGATAACGCCCAACCTGCAGAATGGTAGACCATCTGTTAGACAAATTCCCAGGATGTGATAATTATAAAATATCTTTTCTTCTTCCAATGTGATGTCTAGAAATCAAGAAAATTTTTGACAACAATGAAATCATGGAATAAATAGTAGGTTTCACGGTAACAGCAGTCCCCTCAGGACAAGCATGGCAATGTTAGGACACTTAAAAGTATACATGTCACAGGCAATGCAGAGACATTCCTGTTGCTTAGAGAGGCAGTGTCCTGTAATTCAGATTTGGAGCTCAGAAAAATTAAACTAAGAAATAAGGTGCATCTAGGTGTTAGTGTCCAAGTCCACACCCCACTGTGGTGGCTAGTTAGCAGCTTGACAATTTAATGACCAGGAAATGGATCTACCATGGAATTTTATTGATTATGATAATCCATGAAGATTTGTCATTATTCATTTATTATAACACACTAATGAAGTATTAGAAACGAAAATACTCACAGGAAAAAGAAAATCCAAGGCATCCCAGGCTGCATGACGAACAGCTCTTGTAGGATACATTGGACCTCCAGGAGAAGTAAAGCTATACAGACTGGTCTTCAACCTTGTACTTGTGGTCATTCTAAGTTCCATGCCTGCAGGATAAGTGCGCATTCAGATAATCAACCCAAATGAAGACCAAATCAACACTCTATGAACTTTTCGAAACACTAAAATGGTTGATGTGAAAATACCCTGGAGCACCTTAATCTGTGAAAGGTAATGGAGGAGAACTGGCTCCACCTTTAGCTTCTGAAGCTGGATAACAAAAGGAAAAAAATGAAGTAAAAGCAATGTGAATACAACACAGAAAATGCCCAACACTTTCCTCAAGAAAGACTGATATAAAAATTTTATTGGAGCATATATGCCAAAACTATAAAACAAAAATTACCCTAAGCTGCAACAACAAGAAAGAGAAAACAACTACCTGGTCTGCAAGTTCGATAACAAATATGTCTGCAGGTCCCCCAACAAGGAAAGCATTTGGAAAAGCAGGACAGTGCTTCAGGAAGCTTTCAAGTTTGTCAACTGCAGAGAAGAAGACATCAAAAAAGGAGGATGCAAATGCTTTTTTGTTCAAACTAATATGGTAACATATCCTACCTGAGTTGTAAAAGAATATGAACCTTGCAAGTAAAAGATAAAGATCTCGCTGGACCTCGAATCATGAAGAATTGGCAAGTCAGGGTTAAAACTTGAACATCAATAAGAAAACTTGACAGTAAATGAGAACTATTTATCAATATAATCATCCCAATATTGGCAGCTCATTCCCACTGACCATACCCACATGACAAAATATATCAGTACATGAAACTGAAAAGTGACGGTAAATATGCTGACCTGTAGTGGGATTTTATTTAACCGTCTGGGCTCCATTGCAACCTCCTCAAGAAGATACTGGATCCAGTGAGAGAGAAATCATTAAGAAATCCAACCAATAAAGATGTACATGTATAAATAAGTAACTTTACATGCTCACAGGAGTTCTTACCCAAAAGAGAGACTGAAAGCGCCTTGCATTTGTCTGGATATCAATCCTGCAAATTGGCATATAAAAACCTCAACAGGGGTACTCACCCAAATTTTGGGATTGGGATATACAAAATATCGTATTAAGCATAAAGATGAATCAAATTGTTAACGTTTCTTTCAATCTATTCAGTTTCTGTTACTAATAAAACAGGCAAGAAAATTGTCAAAAGCACTTCTCAAGACCATCCAATTTCTGATATCAAAGAGTGCAGGCAGCTGTTTTGCTATGATGAGAGGAAAATCCACGTTGAATGATATAACCTAAAATTAAATTCCATATAGAACTTTCAATGTTTTATGCTAAAGAATGCTTATTGCTGTGACATGTATTTATTTTCAGGAGACAAGAAGTTTCTAATTATCTGAAAAAAAAAATGATAAGGAAGTAACAACATGAAAATATGAAATGTTCAATGACAAAAGAAAGCATGACTTCATTTTTAATACATTTGCATAAGCATAATCTACAATGAAACTAGCAATGTAGAGACCCAACTTTGAAAGATATCAGAAACCAAAACAACAGAATTTCCACTTGAGCATTATTTAAGATATCAATCATTTTAGTGTAATACTCATACCAGAAAACATTTGTTGCACCTTGAACAAGTGCAGATGAATAGCGAAGGAGTACGTCAGCATTGTCCAGTTGGACTTCAAACAGCTGCAGAAAAGATACATTCAATGGACTACTCAGCATAGCAGAACAACATGGCAGAGGAATCAAAGTAATCTTAATTCATCTTAGCAAGCACTGCCACTAGAGCCACCAGAAGTCACATGATTAAACAGAAACTCATCAAAACAGAGTACTGTTAATTAAGGTAATGTATAGCATCTGGAACAGAAGTCACAGACTAAACGGCAAGAAAGCAATGAACTAAAATGCGAGCTTTCATATCATACCCATTTGTGGAACAAAAGGAAGAATATATGCGAAGCAAATGACTGGCTCCACAGTTGAACAATCAAATCAAGGATAGGTCTTCCACTCTCAGGCACCCTAACATAGTAATCAGCAAGCACATCATAAAAGCATAATGGACCATTAATGTCATCTTCTGCAGGAGATATTACATCCTCTTCAGTGCTGAGAATTCTCTCTGCTTACAATAAAAACAACAAACAATAAAAAATAAAAAATTGAGAATACTCAGTGCTACATGCATGATACCCATTTCTAGCAACAAGAACTGGCCATTAAATCTGAAATAGAATAAATTGTAATTTCTTTGCAATATGAAAACCAACTTTTGTTAAAGTTCACTTATTTCCCCCAATATTCAACAAGCAATTTAGACTTAAAGTTCTGAACATACCTCTGGCTCGATCATCCACTTCCAGTGCTATATCAGCAAACAACTCTTGCAATATATTGCGTCTTTGCGATGGAGATGACAACGCCTGCAATAAATTTGAGTAGACATTGATAAAATAACTGAGGGAGAAGGGAATCTTCAGTGTGCTTTCTCTTTTCAAAAACAAATATTGCATAAATGAATAACAAGAAATGTACTTTCAAGATTCCAATCAATCAACAGATTCACTTCCTAATCTAACACACCCCTCACTATATTGAGGAATGCAAAACTATTTCTCTCCCCGTTGTCGCCGAGCTCGTTTAGGAAAAGAAAATTAATAAAGCTAAAAATATTATAAAAATTAGTGTCTAAACTAGATTTTTTTTTTTTCCATTCAAATCAAGGAAAACAATAATCTAAATAGATTCCTTCCGTCTTTCCTTCACTTTCTCTGGAAACAAACGGATTAGGCATACTAATTTCAGAGAAAATAGCTGAGAAACCGAACCCGTTGAAGCTTCTTCTGGATTTCCTGTGTGAGGGCGTTGATGTAAGCGGAGCTTCGAGGCGTCGGAGGACCTTGCTCTGGCGGCATTTTCTTCGAAAGTTCAGGAAAAAGGACCTACTTACCCTACCAATACCATTTGAGAGAGAATTCTAATCCAAACAAAGCACATGCATATAGCTTGATTCTGCTCCGTGCTCGCCTTAAATGGAAGCCCAGCTTTGCATCGGAAGATTTAACAGTATCTGCATCGAAACTTTACGGACGGAACTGTAGAAATTGATGAAACGGATTCCTTTTTAAGAATAGTTGCATGCTGAATTTGCAGTTAATTCAATGGCACGAGAATTTGAGGGAATCTTCAGGCATGGAAGTGAAGCATTGGAAGCGTTGTGCGGTGCTGTGTTTTGAGATGTTGTGGCGTGTTATCACGTTTTACACGTGTTGTCCGGTTTTTTGGATCAGACGGTTTGGGAAGGCTC